AGACATACGCAGACAGAGAAACACACAGAGAGACATACGCAGACAGAGAAACAGAGAGAGACATACGCAGACAGAGAAACAGAGAGAGACATACGTAGACAGAGAAACACATGCATACAGAGAGATACAGACGGACACGGACGAAGGGACAGACTGACAGACACAGACAGAGGGACATGGTGACAGACATACGCAGACAGAAACACACACATACAGAGAGAAACAGACAGACAGACACAGAGAGACAGACAGAGACACACAGAAAGAGAGACACACACATCTAATCAAGTGCGATTAGCGGCCAGATTCGTAAGGTGGGTCCAGATCTATAAAAATGAAATGCAGAAACAAATGACACTTACAAACTCGCAGAGATGAACGTGCAGAGATCTGGAACTTTCTCCAGCCCACTGATTGGGTAAAGGGGACCTGTAGTTCACAAGGATCATGGGCTGTCTTAATCACAACCACAGCAGCACTCAAACTGTGAGCAGATTTCCCGGGGTGTCATATGTGACAGTCACCGTTAAAAAGAGTGACCTGAGCTGCCTGGGGGGATCTCGATTGCTGTAGGGGGGTTGGGGGGGGCACTCTCTCACTGCAAGGGCTTTAGCAGCACATTAACATCGTACTAAATTCGGGGCTGTGATGGCACTTAAGACCTTAACGGAACCTGGTCCCAGCAAGTCTTCAGGGTAAGCGGTCACTTAACCCTAACCATTACCGTTGCCATGGTTTCAGCATACAGTCCAGCCAAAGGGCATTGACTGCAGGTTTTAAGTACTGGAATTAGGATGGAATGTAATGAAGGTCTCCAGAGTCACGATATTACTAATACACAGCACACCGCCAGGCATTATGCCTGAAAACCTCCACTATTAAAATAAGCCTCTTGTTTAAAGGAATAAATGAAATTTCCAGGTCTCTGCTCGGGCACGATGAGGCAAACTAACAGCTGCCACAGAGGCTGATGTCCAGCAGACCCACTGGCCATGAGATTTCCGAAGACTTTTAGTGGTTTACACGGACTTAGAAGGAGAAAAACTATATTCAAGACCTGAATAGTTACATTTGTCTTATGTCATGGTTATGAGTCAGTCAAAGGACAGCAGCGGCTGTAAAAACTAGCCGCCTGCATCTCCTCACTTCACATTAACCCCTGCTGCGGTCAGGCGTTAGACTTCATCTGGGGATGAGAAGATGCTGTAGTTGTTCATGAGAGGCTGGGCTTTGCGTGAAGCAGTCCAGCACCTGTCCCGTCCTCTTACTCTCATTTCCCGCCTGGCTGCCCAGCCACTCCAGCGGCTTCTGCCTTCACCGCCAAACCGCTTCCTGACTGGAGCTCAGCAGTGTTGGGAAGATTACTTTGGAAATGTAATTCGTTACAATTACAAGTTACTCCATTTAAAATGTAATAGTAGTGTAACTATTTCAATTACTAAATGAAAGTAATGTAACTAATTACATTCGATTACTTTTTGATTACTTTTCTAAATTATGAATGAATATTCTCAACTGTTGGTGTGGCACGCTGAAGGTAGGCATGTCTTCCCTGCCTTGTGTATTATGACTGTTTGCAGTTACAGTAAGCTGCACCTACCTCTAGATGTTTCCTTAGGTTGGACATGGACTGTTTAGGTCTCGACAACATCTTTACAGCCGGTAAACACGCACTGCATTGCACAGTTAAATTTGTGCCTTTTTCCGTAATATATCAGAATTGTTTTTTAATATTTCCAGCAATGGAATGCATTACTTTCCTTGTCTATGGAAGAGGATTAGGGCCACCATGAAAATATTATTTGAATTCTGACTTTAATGTCAGACTTCTGACTTTAATGTCAAAATTCTGACTTTTTTTCTAAACTCAAAAGCAATAAAAATACTGGTATTAAAGATATTAGCAAGGTTTTGCATACAATCTTATGATGTAATCATGAATATTTCCATAAGTAACTAATTTAATTACACTTTTTTTCTCTAGTAACTGTAACGGATTACAATTGCATTTTTTTTGTAATTAAATTACGTAACGCCGTTACAAGTAACTCGTTATTCCCCAACACTGGTGCTCAGGCACAGAGAGCAGAACAGAACCTCAGCGCGGAAGCTCCACATCATTAAACTACACTTCAAAAACCAGCTTGAAACTGCACATGCAATCCAAAGGCTGGTATGCAATTAATAAAATCCATCCATTCATCCAGCATTTCTCTACCAGATGCCTCTGTTTATCTCATGGTTAGTAAACAGACCCATGGTTTATGTTAAACGGGGACTCTATGCGTGATCAGAGCCCCTTCCCCCTCTCCCGTGATGGAGTTCCAGTACTGTTTTGTAGTTCAGGACCCAGTGAAGGAAGCGATGAGGCAGTAAGAAAGTTTGCAGACCCACATACCTTTTTAAGCCAAGTGAAATGCTTGTAAAAATCAATGTGGCCCTCCATGCCGCTGGGCCATTGTGCCCAAGTCTCCCCAAGTCGAGCTCTGCTTCCCAGCGGCTACAGTTGGAGGACGGAGTGCGGCGACCCCGAGACTCCACCGCTCACGCCCACTTCCTGCGACGGCACGGGCCGCTAAGCATGTGGTGTGGAGCGCAGAGCTCCAAGCTGCAACTCCGACCCGCTGCCTCGGAGTGCAGCTCAGCCCAGCTGCCGGCTCTGGCTCCCCTGCCCTCTCTCTCTCCCTCCCTCTTTCTCCCACCCTCCTTCCCTCCTCCTCCTCCTCCTCAAAGACTGGCTCCTGTTAACTCAGTCCTCTTAACGCATGTCTGACTGCTGCTGCATTGAAGGAGGCAGTAATGCAAACAGGGCACGCCAGTCGCAGGCAGTCACAGAATCCGGGGAAGGGGCTGCACTGCTGCTTTTAGTTAGAGCTCTGGCTGGGATTCATTAGGCCCTGTTTCTCCTTTCAGAGCCATAAGACCCCCCATGCCCCCACCCCGAGAGGGGTGACCACGGCGAGAGGTTACATGGCGTCGCTGCTGACACCTGTGGGCTCCCGGGATCGCCCTGAGAACTCCGCGGCCTCGGGGCGTCTCATCAGGCAGCCTCTGTACTTACCGCCCCCCCCCCCCAATTCAGGGCTTTCATGACTCTCAGCCATTTCCTGTTTGGATCACATGAGAGTGAGTGGGGGTGGGGGGTGGGGGGATCTTGCAGATAACACCAGACAAATATAACTGCAGAGCAGAAACAGATCAGCAGGGGGGTGGGGTTGGGGGGCTTTTTACATTTACATACCAATGGGGGGCGGGGGGGCTGATGGTTCTTGCCACAAAAAGGGCCATTTGTTGGTTCTTATACACTTTTGTCATAGGAAGCCTGGAAATGAACTGATGGGACAGATACTGTTACCATGCTGCTTTAGAAGCTTTCTGAAGATCCAACAACCTCTGACTACGACCGAGACCCTCCAGGAAGGAAGGAGAGCCCTCCCCCAGCTTGTAGCTGGTCAATAACTCAACAGGAGATGGTCATGGTCCACTTATGGCTATCACCAGATGGACTTCGCATCCACTTTTGTGTGAAGACCTGCTTCACCTTTTTCTGAAGAGGACCTGGTGAGACCTTCTCTGTGTGGAGCATGGTCTCATGGTGTCACAGTCACAGCCGCTTGTTCTAGATGACTGTTTGTAGGGAGACATTTGCAGACGCTACCCTTAGCTTCTCAAAAAAGTAGCAAAACGGTCACTGCGGCACAGACTATTGGTCCCTCGGCCCAAATAGACATCTAGAAATCTCAAACACTCAGACGGACAGTGAGTCAACAGAGAGATACTCAAATCGGAGCAAGTGACTAAATCTGAAAGCTGCAGCTTTAGCTTTACCCTGACGGCAGGGCAGGATCCTGTTCTCCGCTTGCTCATCCGCAGCGAGCCGCTTCTCCAGCGCCACGCACTACAGCTTAGCACAGCTGGCAGCGCGGACGCCCGTGATGGAGCGCAGGCCGGTACGCGGCTCTCATCCAGCAGCAGGAGCACTCCCTGGCCGCAGAGCCCAGAGGCCTGACATCAAAGGGCCGCCATGGAGGCCTCTCTCAGACACTAGGCTGACTTAACCAGTTCCAGATGCCTTCAGAAGAGGCAACACCGCCGCCCTGCTGGAACCAGCTGCCCAGAATCACCAACCAATCATCTTCCAGGTCCCACGTGAGCCTGAACTATCTGTTCTCCTCCACTGGGGCAAGAGTGCGGGAGGATGGGAAGTGCCACTTAAGTCCCGCCTCTTGACAGCAGCTCTGGCTCATCTCCAAGCAGGACCCGGCCCATGATGCATCTCTTCCCAGTGAAAAATAGCAGGCATGAGGGCCTGATGCAGCTCTATGTCAGGCTACCCTAAATCAGGCTCATCGTATCATTATACTCTTCACAGTGAGTGAGCCTGCAAATTCACATGGCCGGAGAACACCGCGTACCCCCTGGCCAATCAGCGGCTACTCCATGAGTAATGTCCCCTGGGCCCCCCCACTCACCGCACCCATCTCCAGCCAACGCAGCAGGGTCTGCACCGTGGGTCCAGCTACCTGCGCGTCTATGGCGTCCTTCTCCTCCACGCCAACCTGCGTCTCCACGGCGAGCCTGAGCTGCTCGGCCAGCTGTGGCGCCAACAGGGGGCGCCGCTCCGCCACCTGGGAACCTGCATCACAGAGCGACATCTGAGGGGGCGTGGCCTCTAATGAGCACGGCGGTCTGCGTGTCACAGAAGATCCACTGCAGCTGCTGGGTCCCAGAACAAACCCAGGAACACATGGAAGCCATCAGCACACGTGTGTCTGTCGCACACACTTTCTTATTTAAGCAGATGATATAATCTCACTCCAGAAATAACAGGCGTGCTGGAAAAAACTCTCACACTGTATTTTCTTGCCCCTCCAGTAAGTACAGACTCGTATCAGCAGCACACTGACCAAGGTTTGACTCGATGTCCATATGCAGAATTTCTGAGGCGGACTGTATCTCACAGACTAACTCATGGGATTTATTACACGAAACCAGTGCAGCCCGTAAATACACGACCCACATGAAAGCAAGACCAGATTAGCATTAAGTGGTTATGGAAACAGCTCACGTGACCAAAGCCATCCAATAGCGTGGCACCATCAATCAGACATGCATGGCAAAGAATCACGGCAAGCCAGCCGCTTTTGATCAAGTGCAAACAGTGGGATGGGTCCTTGCTGCCCACGTGGTTTTAACTACCCTCCCCCCCCCCCACACATTTGTGCAAGTACCATAAGGGTAGGACCCTTGATCATGGGAGGAGGTGCTGAAATTCCCCTCAGATCTGAGCCTGGATCTGCTGGCATGGATCCCTCGGGAATGATGTTTTCAAGCATTGGGTTTTACTTCAAACTGTGAATCCACACAGCGTTTGCCTGGATTTGCTCGAGGTGTGACGTTGGTGTTTTATCATAGGAGGCATTTCCTGTTAGTACCGGCTAAACATTCGTCTCCCAGGGTACACACCAGGAAGCAGAGCCTCAACCTGCTCGTGATGCATTTCGAAGGGCCATGTGGTATGGACACAGATCGCAGTGTCGGATCCTTCACGGCTATGGACACAGATCGCAGTGTCGGATCCTTCACGGGTATGGACACAGATCGCAGGGTCGGATCCTTCACGGGTATGGACACAGATCGCAGGGTCGGATCCTTCACGGGCCTAGTGGCTGCCGATGATCCCGCTGCTGTAGCATGATCATGTGACCTCTGAAGCTCCTCCCTCAGAGATCCTCCCCATCATCCCTCCATCATGCCCAGAAGTCAGAGCTGCCGACATCTGTCTGGAAAATCTAAACTCTAATTCTTTACAGATTAGGCCACTAAACAGACATTAGAGTCTTTTTAAAATTAAAAAGTTATATCTTGTTAAGCATGGGTGTCTTCAGAAATATGTTATATCCTCACCATAATACTAATGTAATACCCCCATACCAATTCAAATTTTTATAATGTGGGATGAGGACATTTTCAAAAAACTCATTTCACTAAATGAAACTGGTTATAGGAAAAAGCAAATATCAGAACAGCAATTACTAAGTTCAACCAGCAGGTGTCACTTGTTTAAAAAGCTACTGAAGCAGTTAAGTCTGTCAGTGAGCAGCCAATCAGTGAAACACAACCCACCTCACACAGCACAGGACTGCATGGGAGTCTGGGTTTGCCCCCATCCTTAAATTTAATCTTGCCGACGTGCTTCACATGAGCAATGCGACAAGCACTAATCCACTGTGGTGGATGAGGGACTTTGCTATAATGACACTTTAATTACACTCTGTTTTTACCACTCATAAAAGGCCATTCCCAAACGTTTCGAATAGCATTCATCTGACAAATGCCGCCACTATGTCCACTCTGCTGTCTCACAAATAGCAAGAGCTACGAAACCAGTTTAATCGCAGCAGATGAAAAGAAATGAATCTCTCAGTGACAGCGACCCGACAGGGCAACGA